CTTTCACATGCTCACGAGATACTTTCTTATGGTTAGACACATCGAACTGCTCGATTATTACGCCATATTATTAGTGATATGAAGAAGATGTCCGGTCGCCAAGGTGTGTGGAGGTCCCCATGAGGGGAATCATTAATTTTAGGGTGAAGACTTGGTTAGGTTTAGGGTTGGGGTAAGGGTTAGGGTTAGGCATGTGTTGGTTATGGTTAAGATTAGGATAAGTCTTCAGGAAATGCATGTAAGTCAATTTAATGTCCCCTGAAGTGATGTATACATGGTGTGTGTGTGTGCGTTTGCATGTGTGTGTGTGTGTGTGTGTGCGTGCGTACGTGCGTGCATGCGTGTGTGTGTGTGTGTTTGTGTGTGGGCATTTGTTTTCAGAAGATATTATGATAGTGGCGTTCGTTCCGGTGCACTCCGATAGCACTTAGCACTAGCCTACATCGAGATTAAGATTAAACTAATTTCTTTCACTTGGAAATACACATATGGAGTTAGCCAGATATGTGTAAATTACTGTTCGTGGTCATTTGAAAACAAATGCCGGTGTCGGACACACACATACACCGAACACAAACACAGAGCTGAGCTGAGCAGAGCACAAACCCATGCACATCATGTAGCATTTCACGTTTCCATAGCAACAACAACTTCCTGTCAACAACGTAAACTCGCCTTCAAAATAAAACAGGAAGTTAAACTAAATTACATTTAAGACATATACAACTCCAACGAAAGTAGTGTCTGTCTGTGTGTGTGGCTAAAACTTAGCAGCCTCGATCTCTATTCAGCTGTTCTAATGAACTTAAACACAGTGAAGGCACTGCGTAAAAGACACAGCTCTCTGCAGATAGCAGATACTGTGAGAGTCACGGACATTAATTCATAGATCTAGGCAGACTGGTTCACAGACTCTCCTGTTTTGAGAATCCGGTGCTTAAACAAATAGCTCTACACCTCTGGCCGAAATATCCCTAAAATGAAGTCTGAGTTTGAAATATATCTCAAATAATGTATGCACTGCCATTTCCCCACATAAACATAACAATCGGTTGTGAAACGGTGTCTCCAGTGCGCTCCACTTCCTACCTGGCGCACCGGTACTATGCCCGTGCCAACAGAGATGGAGTACTTGAGTCCTGGACTCGGACTCGAGTGCCGATTTTCGGGACTCGTGACTCGACTCGGACTCGCGCACAGATTGACGCGACTCAGACTTGGACTCGCGAATTCTCGCGTACGATGACTTGGACTCGGACTCGTGAATTTTTCCCCCCACGATGACTCGGACTCGACTTGTATATTGAGGCTCCGACTTGGACTCGGACTCGAGCAAGTTTTCTCTGGAGTCTGATGTCCTCTATCCTGGCATGTGCACCTGTGAGGCGAGTTCACGTACTGGGCCCCGCTATTCCAGTCTAGAGATGTCTAGAGACACACCCTGCATCGTGCTGTATGCTTTCACACATTCTGCTTCCACATTGGAAAAGAGCAGCGCAAAATGCTCGTTATGTGGAAACAATATTGAAGAGGAGGCTTCGTAACACATTACTCAAAGGATCGAGTTCAGACATATACAGTTGCAAGAAAAAGTATGTGAACCCTTTGGAACTACCTGGATTTCTGCATAAATTGGTCATAAAATGTGTTCTGATCTTCATCTAAGTCACAACAATAGACAAACACAGTCTGCTTAAGCTAAAACCACACAAACAATTATATGTTTTTATGTTTTTATTGAACACACCATGTAAACATTCACAGTGCAGGGTGAAAAAAGTATGTGAACCCTTGGATTTAATAACTGGTTGACCCTCCTTTGGCAGCATTAACCTCAACCAAACGTTTCCTATAGTTGCATATCAGACCTGCACAACGGTCAGGAGGAATTTTGGACCATTCCTCTTTACAAAACTGTTTCAGTTCAGCAATATCCTTGGGATGTCTGGTGTGAATCGCTCTCTTGAGGTCATGCCACAGCATCTCAATTGGGTTGAGGTCAGGACTGACTGGGCCACTCCAGAAGGCGTATTTTCTTCTGTTGAAGCCATTCTGTTGTCGATTTACTTCTGTGCTTTGGGTCGTTGTCCTGTTGCATCACCCAGCTTCTGTTGAGCTTCAATTGGTAGACAGATGGCCTTAAGTTCTCCAGCAAAATGTCTTGATAAATTTGAGAATTCATTTTTCCGTCGATGATGGCAATCTGTCCAGGCCCTGAGGCAGCAAAGCAGCCCCAAACCATGATGCTCCCTCCACCATACTTCACAGTTGGGATGAGGTTTTGATGTTGGTGTCCTTTTTTTCTCCACACATAGCGTTGTGTGTTCCTTCCAAACAACTCAACTTTGGTTTCATCTGTCCGCAGAATATTTTGCCAGTAGTGCTGATGCTGCCTTTTTGCAACTTCAAACGTGCAGATCTAGAACACATTTTATGACCAACTTATGCAGAAATACAGGTAAATTCCAAAGGGTTCTTTTTTCTTCTGCAACGCTCAGCTGTCTTGAACACTATCATCCAAGAGTAACGTGATTCTAATCAATAAATTAAATATCAGGCGATAAGCACGAAAGCACAGTGGGCTTACTTTTAACAATGCAGAATCGATGTCATTTTGCATTGCATGGCTTTCTGGGCCATCTTTATTCAGTAAAGCCGATTTAAACCGGTAACAGTTCCTTCAAAATAAGAGTTCCCGATCTTATTACTATCAAAAAAAATGCAAAACTCAAACTTTAACCATCAGGAAACATATTGGCAATACAATAATAAACTTCTCTAAAAGGTAACTCATTTTAAATAAGTAGACATATAAAGGTCATAAAGGTAAAGCGACTGCAGTACCGCTCCCGCTGCTCCGATTCTACCGGCCATCTCAGCGCTCCGTTGTTTCCCTCACCTCGAGACCAATGACCCCCGATATAACTTGAATCCTTTCACTTGGAGTGGAAGCCGTCGCATCAGTTCCAGCGAAGAACCATGGCCTCAAGATTTGGCAGGTGCGAATCCTCATCCAGCCGGCTTCACACTCGGCTTGCGAACCGATCCATCAACCGCTTCGAAATCTTTATCCATCGTTAATATCAAACAGAGATTTGGTGACCAAGCGCACGCCTGGCGGAGGCCAACCTACACCGAAATGGGTCCGACTTTACTGCCGAGGACCCCAGACACCAGCTCTCGGCTTTTTGGGAGTACACGCGATTGGATGGCCGCTCGAGTTTGAGACCCCTCAGCTCCATATCCTGCAGCACCTCCCACTGTATACTCCCTCGGGACACCCCGGTCACGCCTCCCAAGTCTAACAAAACAGCATGTAGACTGGATAGCCGTATCCAGGCCCCCTTCCAGGACCTTGCGAAAGTAAAAAAGCAATCCGTCGTTTCCAGCGACCAGGACAGAATCCGCATTGTTCCTCCTCAATCTGAGGTTGAATCGGCCCCGACGCCTCCTTTTCAAGAATCTTAGAAGTAACTTTCCCGGGGAGGCTGAGTTAGTGTGATGCCTCTATAATTGGCACACACCTCTGATCACCTTTTCTGAAAAGGGGAACCACCACCCCGGTCTGCGCACTCTGCCAACCCACTCGGTACTGTTTTCCGACTTCCACGCAACGCTGATGAGAACGTGTCAACCATGAGCAGTCCTCAAACCCAGCAGCCTTCAGCTTTTGGGTTGGTTTCTCATCCACCACCCCGGGGCTTTGGCCACTGTGGGTTTGTTGACTACCTTCAGTGCCTTCCCCCCCGGGAGAATTGGTGTTTGTCCCAGTCCAAGAGGCTTCCGCCACCCAATCTCACCACCAGATGGTGATCAGTTTGACAACCTCGCGCCCCTCTCTTTACCCGAGTGTCCAAAACTACGGCCTCAGGTCTGAACAAAATCGATCAATGGACCTTTCTGCCTAGGGTGGCTCTGTACCCGTACACTTATCGAGCATCCTTTGTTCGAACATTGTGTTTGGTTATGGGCCAATCCATGACTAGCACAGAAGTCCAGTAACAAACCACTCCCAATCCGCCCCTCCAAGGTGTCATCCAATCCATTGCCCCACATGTGCGTGGAAGTCTCCCAGCAAGATTAAAGGATCCCCTTCAGAGCCCATACAGGACTCTTTAACAGGTTGCTCCAAGAAGGCTGAAACCTCTGAACTGCTGGTTTGGTGCATAAGCACACACAGCAGGTCAGAAAGTTTTGTCCCCCCCATAACCGCCGTAGCGTCAAGGAGCGACCCTGTCCGTCACACTGTGGTAAAACTCAACAAAAGAAGCCACCCAACCGTGGCTTGTGCGAGTATGCGCATCTTCTCA